AATAAGGTGTCTCAAATGTATTGCCCGAAATAAGCAACTCTGAAGATTTTCAGTCCTCTGAAAGTATCAGTGATGAACCTTGTTGGCAGCCCGTAACAGAGATACAAATTGACCTTGCTATAGATAGGACTGACATGAATATAAGTCGATTGACAAGAGGAAGAAAAAATAATTCTTTACCTTCCAAGTAAACTTCTCTTGCCCTTTCATATACTAGCTTTACTGATGAAAATCCAATTTAGGGTTAAAAATCAGTGAAAAGCAGAGAGTCAGAGTTTGAAAGTATATTTTCTCTGCTACAGCAGGTGATAACATGTGCCAGCTGCATGTGTTTTTCTCTCCTCTTTGTCCGTGGTGTAGATTTTTAATGTTCATTATAGTACTATTGGAACTACAAATTCATAAGCTTTTGTCAAGTATTGTAGCAATAAGCAACAGGTAGGAAATCTAGTTTCCTTCTGGGAATGCAGAGACGATTGATAGTAGCCACTGAGTCAGAAAAGTGCTTGTAAATCGTAATGCACAGCGGAAGCGCTTCGCTTTTCATGCTGCTGTGGTTCTGAACTAAAGGGATGATACTAAAATACTCATTTTAGATGAGCTACCCTAGATAGGAAGCCCTGTGCTGGATTGCATAGGTTAGGACGAGCCCTATTTTCGTAGGTTTAAAGCAACCACAAGAGACAATTAGTTGTAGGACACTTGTCTGCATTTGCTAGAGTCACATGGAGGACGATAAAATAGGTTACCTCTTTCCCTCATAAAGTGTTTCCACGTGAAAGCAGTTGCTTTTCTGGCAACAAACATGTTAGGTGGTCATGAGTAAGGAAAGAGATGGCCAGTAGATATTATTGCAGTCCTGTTCCTAAGGCTGTGATGCCTCTCCCCACTGTGTTCGCCATGGGATGCGGTCCCTTGGTTGTGAATTTTGAGATATTTGCTCTTAAGAAATAATGGTATTTTTTTAGCTGAGTGTTGGTTGCATCAGTTGCCATGCCAGTAGATATTTGTTAATTGTCTGATACACAGTGTGGTTTCAATAAGTTATGATGGCAGCAGTGAAAATGAGGTGTCACAAACAATTGTGGCATTTTAAATACCGTTATGCTTCAGTGTGTATAAATGTGGCACTTTTATAATTTCAGAGGTTATTCATATTTCCATTTTTCTCAGTTTCATTTTCCTCGCTCCCAACTAACTTGTAGCATTTATTGTAAAACTTGACCTGAAGATGAATGGCTCATTATAAGAACTTATGCCGCATGCCTGACTTTACAAATTTCTTTTTATATTCAGAACAGGAAATTTTTAATAATAGAGAGGTGGCATGTGACATGTAATCTATAATGACAGGAATGTTAAATCAATGTTTTCAGTCCCCAATTAGAAATGCAATGGCAGATTAAAAGTCAATTTAAAGGCTAAATAGGAGTTTGTTAAACTAATTCCCAGCCACTTATCAAATCTGAGTCTCTCTCCCAAATATTGTAGGTGGTTTTCTAGATGGTTCTTTTGTATTATAACGGATATCATTATGAGCTGGCATTTGTCACCAAACAGCCATGATGATTTGCTATATTAGATTTTGTTAAAGGCATAACCATTTAATTAGGAGATATAAGATACTAATGTTTTCTCTTCCCTGACTCCCTTTTGCGGCGTTGTTTGCAGCCAGCATCAATGAAAGGAACCTTCAGGGGGCTCTAACTCAGCCTCGGTTCACCTGTAACCTGCAGAAGGTACAGCAGTTTAAAACAATTTTATTCCTTACCCACTGACCTGTGCTGTGGGCAGTGTACAGACAGGCAAGACCTGTTCCGTGAGGGCTGATGCTGCAAGCTCCCGACGGCTGCGAAACAGGATTGCAGAGAGCCTGGGTGCCCTGGAGCATCCTCCTCCTCCAGGAGCCTCTGGAGCACTGTGGGGTCGGTGGGGAGCCCGGCGCATGCTGCAAAGGCTGGAGAGGGCTCCTCAGCTTGTTGTAGGCCCTAAGTCTGTCTCAGCAAATGCAAATAGTGCCCGGCAGCCTGTTTGAGGATTTTTTGACAGCTGAGACTGATTCCTGAAGTGGTCTTAAGACTTGTAAGGAAATGTGAGAGAAAGTGGGAGAAACAGCATCTAGGAAGACAGGCAAATTTCTCCCTCACATCCTTCTTATTTATTTCAAGCATTTTTTGATTTTTGCTGGCTGTGGTTGGTGAAGCTTTTTGTGAGACCTCTCCTCCCTTCCTCACACTGCCGGGGCACTAGGGACAAAGTGCTGTCAGGAGCATCTTCAGTGATGTTTCAGTGCGGCTGTCTCCTTATTTTGCAACCCCACTTTGCAAGGTTTGGTCCCAGGAATGTTATGTTACATCCTCCCACCTAATGCAGAGTTGGCATTGGATACCGGCTACTGTCACAGAGCAGAGACACTGATTATTTCAACTATGTGGAAAGCAGTTCAACTCAGGATTACTTTTTAAGGTAATATTTAATTTGTAGTCTGCCAATGTTACATTCCATTATATTATAACACTATTGCATATATGTACTGGTGGATGAGGGTAGAGGAAGGTAAAATACTAACTGCCATGGGCGTATTTGGTACCTAGCATTTTCTGTGGCATGTTTTTCTGCAGATAGGGAATAAATTGTCAGAACGACTAAGCTACCCTCAGATGTAGGCAACAAACATGTCAATGAGTAGGGACAAGGGTTGTAGAGCTGGGAGGAGTGTAATGCCTGGCGAATCCGAGTTTTCTTCCTGGATGAGTGCTGAGCTGCCCTGAGGACTTAATCAAGCTATGTTGTCCCTGGGCCCCGGCATCCCTCTCTTTGTTCAGCCTATTTCGGGTGTCAGCTTTCTAGAACAAAACTCATGATAGATGGATGGAGGGGAGCTGCGTTAGGCTTTGATTTTGGTGCAAAGTGATCACACCTCTTTTGCAGCATCTGTGATGCCTATCATTATTGATAGGAAGTGTAGTGCAGTGTGATAATTGCATTTCCTAGTAGAGGATGGAATAATACAGTTAGATACTGTGAGTAAACAGCATTCTCATAAGAAGTTCCCGTGACTTCAGTGGGAAGGCATGCAACACAACATTCGAACCGTTATGTGTTTGAATAGCAGTTTTTAAAGAAGCAATAAACAAGCAACACCTTTTCCTCCTGAAGCAAATTCTCTCTTCTCTTATGAGTCAACAAAGTTTGGCTTATAGTAATCTCTAGATTGGAAAAAAAAAAAAAAAAAAGAGAACTTTATCCTGGAACCTGTGCTGATGTCCCCTCATCTACTTCCTCTTTCCTCCTGTTCCTTCTCACTCTGCTACTCCTTGCTTAGGGCTTGTT